AGTTCTTTAAAAACAAAAAAAAAAAAAAAAAAAAAGATTAGAACAGACCAAATGCTTCAGATATGTTTTAAGTCAAATAAAAGAAAAAAAGAAACAACAGAAACAAGAAAATTCTGTCATGTTGTTTCAAAATTGTATGACTTTGTTTCTACTGGGGAACACAAAAGGTGAATTTCTGAAGAATATTCTTGCAGTTCTCTTCCATATAATGAAAGTAAATGAGTGATTGACTGAAGTGGTTCATATGATTTGTTAATAATATTCCAAATCGTCTGATGCCGAGCAATAGCTTTGTGGAAGTAAGTGAAATTTAAGCTGTTCACTAAAAATCTTGATATCCAGTCTAGCTCTCCTTAACTTGTTCCTAAGACTCATGAGCTACTCATTCTTTTGGGTCTGATCTTTTCGACGAAATGCTTAATGCAGTTCACACGACCGTTCTGAATGATTTGTTCAAGAATAGCACTCCTCTGACTCTCAAGCTCACTTCCTCAATGATTCACAGCAGTTCACAGCTTACTGGAGAGGAAGGTTACCAGGAAGTAACGACTAATTTTGATCAGTTTCCCACTCTAAATTGTTATATGACTTCAGAAAGCTTAAAATATAGAACAGAGGAACACTTTTACAGTCTTTTTTGGTGATTTTTGAGTTTAAGTCTTATTAGCTTGCCAGGGTTTTCATCAGAAATTCACCTTTTGTGTTCTACAGAAAAATGTAATTCATAGAGTTTTGGAACAACATGAGGGCGAGTACTGTAAATGATGACAGACTGACTGATTGATTTTATTTTTTTATTCCTTTACTTACACCAAAAAAATCATCACAAATGAAATCAAATGCATAAACCTTTATGTCACTGTCACTATTTGGAAAGGTGGAAGTTATTTATCCAGTGATTGGAACATATCACTCTCAGGATTCCTGTGGTGTTTTATGGGTAATGTGCCAGTGAGGCACGAGGCTGTAAATATCATGCCACGAAGAGCCCAATTCCCCTATAAGTCTTTTAGATGACTCCGTCTTCAAGTTCGATACCATTTCCAGCCATTTCCCCCCATGCTGCTGTAGCATAAAGCCCCCCTGATGCTCGAGAAGGCAGAAGGAAAGTGGATTAGGTTTAATGCTCAGAATGTGGGAGTTTATCTTAGGTTGTTCAGTTTTGTGTAAAGAGCCAGCTCTCCATAACTGAGGACAACTGTAAATTGAAGTCAGCAGGGGACCATATTATCTGGATAAATTGTTAAATGAGTCTTAAATGAGTAATGGCGGTGTAGAAAGGAGAACATGCAAAGCCGGTCTGCAGGAGGTGATGGCATTGAGTATTCATCACATAAGATGTGGCTTCCAATGTGTGTCAGACCTCCTCTCTACACTGCGGGGATCCTTGTGTTTTTCACCTTCAGTGTAACTGATTTTTTGATAGGTCTATTGAGCATAAACGCTTACTATATAATGTTGTTAATATATAAAAGTGTTCTTCAAGGCTACAGTTCCTTTTACATATCAAATCACGTCTTTAGGTGAAACGCAGTTTTCAATTATTGTTACATTTATCACATACCATCTTTACAAGTACACAGCCTGTCCATTAATTATAAAAGCACTTATTAACAAAGCAAAGTTGTTTTTGGCATGTTTTTGATAATTTACTGGGGGGAAAAAAACTACAATGCTTATTAATGCTTGAAAAACAAAATAATAAAGAACCATACAGAAAAAATGATATTAAATCTCGACCTTTATATCTTAATATCGACCTTAATATTACGTTTTCTACGAGGTTAGTTCAGTTTGTAAAGTGTCGTATGCTAAGATTTTTCCAAAACATAATGACATTTATAAATGAATAATCCACAATATCTGTAAAATTCTCACATTGAAAATATATTTACGATTAATATGTGTACCCTCACATCTATTCAGTGTGTGAGGAAAATACTAAATATTTCATTTTAGTCATTAAAATTTAAACTTTTCTTGAAAATGGTATATAAAAAAAAAACATAGGAAACAAACATTAAATACAAAGATTACATTTCATTACTTGTCCATTTGTTTTGTTTTTTTTGTGGACAATCTTAATTGACCCATATAATAACTATGTCAAAGATTAAGGCAAAATGTTTTTGTGTTAGGGTTAACATTTTCTGAATGTTCAAAAATATTACAATTATACCTATACTCATATCATCTTTATTGTGTTTTATTCACCATCAATAAATGACTTATGCTGACTGAAATTAATCAAAAGAGCTGTTGAAATGCTCTGGCTGTCATTAAATCTGCTAAGCTCTTTAAGTTCCACAGGGTTTTGCTTGACTGATGAAACGCCCCACCTCTGTAGAAGAGGGGCTGCACATCTGCTCCTTTTCATGGACAAGAGAGGGCCTGCTGCACCGAGGAATGCAGGACAGGGACATGCGCTTCCCTTAATGAGGATATCTGTGAGCACTCCGGTCCCTTCTGCCCGTCACACTGCCATAGCTTGATCCGCTTTGGGCTCAAATACCTGCTGGGCTGTCCGTCAACGCAGCCTCCCCTAAACCCTTCACTGATGGCCTTTCCTCCTGTTTGATCCTTTGACTTTCTTCTTGAAAGCCCTAAGTAAGCCATCACTACAATATACCAACACTGAGGGGGCTCGAGGGAATTCGGCTTTAAACGAAGAATAAAAATGTTGTCGAGGGCAAGGATTTGAGCCACCTGCATAAATGTGGGAGTGCGGTACGGAGTTGTGTGCACTTTTCTCACTCACCGTAATCTTTCTTGCAGTACTTCTTCATATTGATCTTCAGCTTGCCTTTGGAAGCCTTGCAGTAGGATTCACAGTCTAAATGTGGAAGTTAAAAGAAGAAAGGAAGGGCAAAACAACACAATTAAAGAATGTAAAAGAGGGAACATTTTCAAAAAAGAGACACTTCTGCAAACTACACATCTATCCTAAAGCCCTGGCCTGTTGTGACACCCATCTGCCCAGTTTAATTGTGAGGCTGTAATAGGGCTTGTGAGGCATTCAGCAGTGTCTTTTGCTCCTTAGAAAAGCAGGAGACAAAAGGTCCCTCTCGTTCTGCTCTCTGGATGTCTGGACCCTCCCCTGCTCTGATGGGAGACCTCTGAGGCCAAGCGTATTGTGCCACCCAGCGATTTTTTTTTTCTTCAGCTCCATGCTAATTTCTCACCCTTGTCTCTACAGGCACTGCCATGATGGGCCTGATTAGGGCTTTTTGAATCATTACTCCTCCCTCCCGGTCCTGTCGACTCACCCTGTACGTCTGTCATAATGCCACCCTCCCCCACCGCAACCCCTGAAGACCATTTCAACCTTTGGCATTTATTGGTTCGGCACTCAGGGAGGTGGCAGTGAAGGGGGAGCAAGGGTTGTCCGAGCACAAAGGGAGGTCAGGGGGGAAATTAGCAGCGCATAAAGCGTTTAAAAAGCTTGTTGTGTGTAAAAATAAAGAAGAAACGTGGCGTTTCAGCCAAGAAGCGCAACAGATTTGGTTCAGATTGCAGGACCTTTTTAGCAAATCCAGATAAAGAACTAAACCGAAAGCGAGTTGCGCCTTCAGTTGCTGTACACGGACACAATTAATTCATTAAAAAATACCTCTTTGGAGCATGCAGATGTTTAAATAGAGAAGATTTCTCTTGCCATTCCCCTTACACCCCACACATTGTCATGGCCTTCTTTTAGTGGATGGATGGAATGAGAAGACGGAGGAGGGGGAGAGAAAAACCATTCAGCTCGCCTGCATATGAACAAACTTCATTGTTTCAGCCGACCCTCGCTTCATGCCTGCCTTTTACTTTCTTTTGGACTCGCTATTCTCTCTGTGTGAATGAGGTTGCCCAGGCAACGAAGGAATCAGAAAAAAATGCCCGTGAAAGTAGTCGCTCCGAAGTGGTTGCACGAGGGACTCCAAGGTGGGGTTGGGCGAGTCAAACTGTGCACATTGTAGATTGGAAATGGCAGAGAAACTGTAACCGAAATGAAATTGAGAGTCCATAGTGTGGCAGCTTCATTTCCATTTAAATGAAGACTGTAGAGCAACTGCTTTGTTTTCCTATAACCCTGTTTAATGCCATCACGATACTTCCCTTTGAAAGCCATCATTTCTCATTAGCTCTCCTTTAAGGAGGTGACGAGCACCTTGAGATTCCTATTTAAACATCTCGTCCCCCGCAGCAAGGACAAATGTTCTCATTGTGCCCCCTCTTGAGTTAGGGGAAGTAGGGTTAGCTTGCCATCCCGTCATGATGCTCCCACAGAGACCAGTGTCACCTTAATGGATGTTTTTCCTGCCGTCTTTTCAAGCGAAAGCTGTGTACGAGAGATTTTGGCACCACGTCCAGTGGCGCTGTTAGCGGTGCCAGTGAGTAAAAGGAAGCTGCGTGTAAGTTTGAATGTGAGGCTTGTTTGACACTGAAGAATGAGTGGAGGGCACCGGTTACACGCTGACTGTTGGGGACCCCTGTGGGGAAACATTTGTGGACGAAGTCTCTCCGTCGCTAGATGTCGAGGGAAGTTGTTGGTCTGGAGATTCAGCGGAGAACAACTTTTCGCCTAATGAGTCTGTGCTATTCAGCTTCACTCAGCACTTCTGAAAAGCCTTGACATCTAACACTGACAATCTAACCTGCTGGGTCTTTTGGCGCTTGAGGACAGCCAGACACTGTACTCTGTTGTTAGCAAAAAGAGCCTAAAGCTGACCTGAGGTCTGTTTCCAGTTGGACCTCTGATGGAATGGACAATGCTAATGGGCGCATCTCAGGTCTGGGAACTGTAAAAATGAGGTGTGAATGAGCGCACAGGGGGAAGGCTTTTTCTGTGCGGAATGAGACTGATTGAGAAACAAATTGCTGCAAATAAAGCATGTAATTAGATTATAGCCAGAGCCCCAAGCTCCCACTGGGGCAGGGACTCAATGGGCAAGCTGGGTCTGTTCCAAAGGGAACTGCTTTTTTTTTTCTCCTTCCCTCTCAACCTCTCAAAATATCCTTCTCGTTTTCTGTCGTTCTTTCATTCCATTCAGGACTTTGAGAGAAAAATAGCTGTCTCCCGAACTCTGACAATGGTTTAAAGAAACAGACCAGACAGCGCGTGCGGTTTTAATTCAGGGTTTGTTTTGGTCACGGCAGCATACCTCTAATGGGGAGAGAATGGGTAGAAATCAACTTCATTACTGTAAATGAAGCCCGGAGATGTGTGGGGACCATCGGCAACACTCGAAATCTGACAATGCAAAATCGGAGAGAGGAGAGGCCAGCTTTAAATTAGACGAGAGCTTTGCATTCCTGATGAGACACTGATTCAACACTATTCACTCTCTTTCTGTCTCTCTCCAATTCTCACTTTCCCTCCCTCTATCTCTCACTCACTCCCCTTTTTTGTTCATTCCTTTCATAATCACTAGGAGCCTTGTTGAATTCTATGGGGCCATTTGGTCTTAAAAGGGTGACAGTGTTAAAGGGATAGTTCACCCAAAAATGAAAATTCTGTCATTTACTCACCCTTGTGTCACTGTACAACTTTCTTTCTTTCCTGTCAGAAAAAAAGGCATGGTTGGGGTCTGTTTGTGTTCACATCGGGTAAAACTACTGTCTCATAGTTAAACTTTAAGGTATGAATATACCCTTCAGGGATAGAAAGGCCAGTTTTCAGTGAATACAATTTGATTTCAGTGATAAATTTCAGTTTGTTTTTCATGCAAAACGATTTACAAACAAATCTATTATAATGCACATACAGTAGTCATATGGAAGACTTATATATATATATATATATATATATATATATATATATATGCACAGTATATTATAGTGCTTCTTTTTATAGAGCAGTCCTCACAGTACAACAACTGAATATCTACACATCCATGCAAATAATGACTGTAAAAACAACAGGCGCTGATCTCCTAATGCAGGTTTGTAGAGACATCTCTGTCAGTCATAGCTGAGTGTGTCTGAGGGATTATTCAGAGGTCTTGGGAGTGGTGACTCACACCATGCATGACCTCGCCACACAATATGTGTTTTGTCTGAGCCGAGCAACCAGAGGTATTCGCAATGCATTCCTCCCCTCCATGTGGCAGTGCTGAAGACATATTAATATCCTCCTTCTCCTCTCCTCCCCTGACTTTCCTTCTGTCCTCCTGCCATTCCCCTATTTCATTCTCATAGACACCTGCTACACAGCTGCCTGCCCCACCCTTCTGTACAAGAACGTACAGGTTCTCTCTCTCATTCGCAGTCTTTCTCGGTCTGAGTGGGCAACTGCTACAGAGAAGGGTGGAGGTGCCCTGATAAGAACATCTGTTTGCAATCATCTATTGGATGAGGTCATATTTTTCTGCCGTATTGCGCTATCCTGAGGTGAGCTTTGGGCCTGGAGTGAAGGTATAATGTATGCGGTCCCATAGCAGGATGTGTGGGTGGTCTGGAGCGTCCATTTTGATGGGGGCACTCAAATATGTCTGTCCTGTGCTCCACCTCTCCATCAGCTTGATTTGGAATGCTGCACTTCTCATGGAGGGTTGCTCTCAACACCAGATGGGTCAAGCGATTTAAGGGCTCAAAATCAGCAGTGCCCCCTTGACTGGATTAAAGGTCATGCAATCTTTGCAAATAAATTAAGTTTTAAAAATATGTTGATTTTGAAATATAACTGGCCAAACGTATTCCATTAAGTGATTAGAAAGGGTGTATTTCCTACATTTTCTGACCATTTAATTAATTTCACCTTTATTGTTTGAACTAATCTTCAGAAATTATTTCTAATTTTAGTCATAAAAAACAACAAGCAAACAAACAAACATGATAGCTGTATTGTATTAGTATTTTCGTAAAAAAAGAGACAGCTAAAATGTGACAAATGGTGGTGACAAAACAAACAAGCAACAAATAAAAAAATATGAATAAACAATTATGTAATATTACATATAAACAAATTATCGAGTTTTTTTTTATAATTGTTCAGTACTCTTTCTTTACAAAAACACTAAGACAGGCATAATGCAGTTTGCATATCTTGCATTTTAGTAATTAAATAAACATAATATCTACATTGTACCAGTCTTAGTATTTCTATTAGATAAACGATGGTGACAAATAAAACAAACAAACAAAAAATATATATATTTTCACATTAATATAAAATATATACAATTAGCCTAATATAGAGATTTTTTTTTTTGTTCAGCGCTGCTTTTTTTTTAGAAAAATACTAAGTCAAGCACAATGCAAGTTTAGTTTTACACATGTGCTGCCATATGCTTTAGGGTCAGGCCATGACAAATGGAAACACATTGTGGTAAATGGGTTCAACTTTTCCCTCCGCTTTGCCTATTTGTTTATTTTGCATGGGTAACACCCTCTATCTCAAATCATTGATAGTCCATTAAAGAAAGTCCATTTTCACAGTGCAGTTCTGACATTTGGCATGAGCCAAACTACCATGAAACACAGAATTGGTTTCAGATGGGCTAGAGAGAGTGAGTCGGTATTTTAGGACAAAGGAGGAAGAAATGTAGAGAGAATAAAAGACTGTAGAAGAAAAATGTGGGGGTAGAGAAAATATCCCAGGGAAGAATGAAATGAGGTCCACCAGAGAGAGAGAATACCAGCAGCTCTGCTGTCAATCTTATCTGTCAGTAAAGCATTAGAGGTCTGCGACGATCAACCAACAGCTGCAAAGATTTCTAGCACGCTAGAATTCCTCTGTCCGTGAGAATGACGAATATTTCTTCAACAAAAACTTTTCCATACGGGCAAATTAAAGCATGTTCACTCTCTATGTTGAAAAAAAAAGGAAACTGACGGCTCAGGGAAGAAAACTTGGGAAATTAAACATCTGATCAGGAGACACAGTCTGTAATTGCAATAAATATTAGGGAAGCATTTGTATATTTGCGGACAGTGTTTTACTGTCGGGTGCTAAATGAAATCATTTGGCAGGCATGGACGTTAAGTCTGACATTCTGCTTACTTTTAGACATATTTATAAAACATCTGCGGCAAGAATGAACATGTCAAGGGATGTAACTGTAAAAATAGATCCCCCTAAAAATGTTTTGCAGTTCCTCTTCCATGAGTTTAGGGTGAATAAAATCCCACTTCACGCTCAAAAACAAGGAACAACGTAAAATCAGCGAATCGATAAGAATGAGCCCCCATAAAAACGATTATGTTCTCAATCATCACTATGAGACACTAATAAGTGGCCTATCCAAACACGATTCGAAAGGAACCTTTACAAACTGCTAGCATTTTTGAATAGTGAGCAATTCAGTCTGTGGTTTCTGACATCAGATGTATTCTTGCTTAAACAATATTCTTCTCATATGAGACTAAGATCAGTTAACTAACCTGAAGGTTCCTCTGTGCTGCTTGCAGTGGTAGTTGGTGGAGCAATAGGAATTTCTGTTCCAAAAAAGAGAGCACTGTTAGCAAAATAAATAAATAAACATAAGTTAAATTAAAATTAAACAACAGTTACAATTTAAGATCAGTATATAAAAATAAATATTAGATTATACAGACGATTTATTGCTACTAATTTGAACCATTTAAACTCCGAAGATACTGGTTTAACATTAGAAATCCATTTGCAAAACGTTGGTTCACAAAAGGGCATACAATTTGCTCAACTACTCCATTTGTATCCCTCTTTTGCTGTTATGAAAAACAGTGAGATACATGTCCAAGACTTGATTCTTTCATTCTTCCTTCCATGACCTTTTCATGAATGGAGGGAAGTTTACCATGCATGATGAAAGACCTTTTCAACAAAGTGACTGAATTCATAAAAGTGGTAAAAAATAATAATAGTCTTTTGCTATATTGGAACATACCTATTCAAGAAGAAAAGGCAGTTACTGCCATGAGCACAGAACAAAAAGAGGACTGAAACAGCTTGAGCGTACTAAGAGAAATATGAAGAAGTTGATAAGAGTGCTCATGTGCCCTGTGAAGCTGGTGGGCAAGCATGCAAAAAAGAGCCATTTGAAGGAAGAAAGAATCAAGTCTTCTGATTTAAAAATAAATAAATGAAATAAATCATGAATGATCTTCATCATGTGGTGGGGTTCAAAAATGTTTTTATGCTCTTGTTGAACTGTGACCCTAAGAAATTGTGCAGAGCCAAAATATGTTTTTGTTGCTTTTATGGTGCTTCGGCCAGTAAACGAGGCATTAATAATGATATCACTCTGTAATGTTACTTATTTTGGATGACATATCAAATCTTAAAATAATTCAAAACACATTATTTAATCATTTAGGCTTTGGACAAAGGCACACATGCCATATAGAGTGCTTTAATGTAGAGTTCAATAAAGAATTACCATTACAGCTACCAAAGATTATGGGCACTGTACAATGATGCACGTTTTCTGTGGTGGTCTTACTTCCTCTATCAGCACTACACATCTTGGGCTCTCCTTGGTGAACATGGGAACGAGTTTAATGCCAAATTAAATTACAGTGCAAGCCTGTTATAAATATTTGAATCCTACTGATTTTATGGTCTTCAGAATAAGAGGACATAATAGTATGTGTAGCCAAGACTTCCTCGTGTTAAACTGAGCTTGGCATGGATTCAGATAGTGCTTAAAATTTATATGGGCTATTAAAATAAAAACCGATTATTTCACAATTATGAGAGAAACTAAATATGTTCAGTTCAATTACCACAGTGTCCACCTTTCCAGGTTTCACACATCAGTGCTTGTGTCTTTCCCAAGAAAATCAAAGATACATGATTCCAAAAAGTTATAGGTTGAATTTACTCTGCTAAACTCCCCGCCAAAAAAATTCTCCAGAGCCATTTCTTTTTTTCTAAATGTTTTGATATCCAAGCGTTGTTTCGTCGACAAAAGCACCAATTCAACAGTTTCAAATGCAAACACCAGTGATGGTTAATATGTTTGCTTCATTCATTACCATGCAGTGAAGATACTTTTAAACTTTTGCGATCTTTAAAAGCAATCTTAAGACTCTTCAAATGTCATTATTTCACTGATTTGGTCCATGAAGTAAAGAAAGCAGAATTTAAAGAATGGCAGGTGATAATCCTGTGGAATGACCTTAAAGGGTTAGTTCACCCAAAAATGAAAATTAGCTTGTGTTTTACTTACCCTCAAAGCATCCTAGGTGTATATGACTTTCTTCTTTCAGACGAATCCAGTCGGAGTTATATAAAAAATTGCCTTTGATCTTTCAAGCTGTTTAATACCACTCAGCGGGTGTTGCAGTTGAACAGTCCACAAGTCGTCAAATAAAGCTCGCGCATTCATAATAAAACGTGCCACAGACGGCTCCGGGGGATGAGCAACGCCGCGCGTCTTACGTCATCCGCCGGAACTGCTTCAGTGTATGACAGTCAGCAGAAGTAAGAGAAAAGTGTTTATTACGTTTGAAATATGGATATTTTTCTTTAAAAAACACATGGATTCGCTACAGGGGGGCTTTATTCATCGCCCGGAGCCGTCTGTGGCACGTTTTATTATGAATGCGCGAGCTTTATTTGACGACTTGTGGACTGTTCAACTGCAACACCCGCTGAGTGGCATTAAACAGCTTGAAAGATCAAAGACAATTTTTAATATAACTCTGACTGGATTCGTCTGAAAGAAGAAAGTCATATACACCTAGGATGCTTCGAGGGTAAGTAAAACACAAGCTAATTTTCATTTTTGGGTGAACTAACCCTTTAACAAGACATAGTTTCAAAGTCTTTCCACTGTGACTGTTCATACATGCAGATTTTCATGTTTGACCATAAGAAATAGATCCTACAGTCCTTTAGAAGAGTTTCAGCTCAATATTTCAAGCATTCCATGGACAGAAACATTTGTAAGTGCATTATGGCTCATTGGGGATTGAAGTGGAAAAAAATAGAGATCTTGACATTGAGTGATCCACATACTTATGCAGGGGGCAATGGGTGATCGGCTCTGCTGGTAGCCTTTAGCACAACGGTTGCATGTGATACCCGTCACACCGTCTTTACAGGGGCATTGGCCTGTGGTTTGGTTACAGGTTTTGCCCGCGGCCCCCACAGGATGGCAATCACAGGCTGTGAGGAACAGAAGAAAAGAGATAAAAGAAAAGCACATACAAACAGTACATACATACAAAAAGCACAGATAAACTATAAAAGTAGCTTTAAGGGCCCAAGTCTGGGGAAATAAGAAGGTGAAGATTTGTGAAGCAGTTGAAAAACACATTGTGTGTTTTATGAAAGTGGTGACCAGTCTCGTGACAAGAGCATGCACATACACATACAAATTCAAAACACTTCGGTATGATAGTCAATGATTTTACATAAGTAGTGGCTTGAGAATGTCATTTTTTCCTCAGTATGCATTTAACTCAAACCTTAAACACATAAAGACAGGGCACATCAAGATAAAGTCTCTCTGAACAGCTGTATCTGGGCCCTAAATGTATCTGGACATTTTTGGACACTCAAGTCAACCTTAAAAATGTCACTGTACATAAATAATGTCACTGAAAAAATATCAATCCTGATATCTGAAAGCTTTTTTTTTCCAGAATTTACTTCACATTTGAGACATTTTTATATTTTTTATATGTGATTTTTTTCTAGAGGTCACACAGGTTTCACATCAACTAGTAATTTTCTGCTAATATCTTCTAAGCAAAAACTCCCTTTTTTGTTGTCTTTTATCAACACAATATATACTCTTTTTCTTGTGAATTATGTTGCAAGAAAGGATTCCTTTACAATGCCACTTTTTTATCTAATGCAAAACCTTTTATACATTTTTAAGTGTTTCTGAAATGTCTAAACACGTTTTGGAACCACTGTATTACAATAAATATTAAAATTGGCAAAAATATCTAAATATCTATAATATCTAAAAAAAAATATCCATAATAAACACATTTCCTTAAAATATGTTTCCATAACATGTGCTTTCATGTGTTTTCATCAGAATATTGTGCTTGTGCCAATAATGTCTGTCACATTTCCTTCCTCTTGGGAGGTCTTTCTCTAACATATGGCTCAGCGTCTCTCTCCGCTTCTTAAAGCTTGTGAACTGATTGTATTGCCTTTGTGTCAAAGCTCCTTTCAAGTCCGTTTTCTTAAATTCCCATCATGGGTGGTTACATTAAAGTTACTTTCGCAAAGAGTCCAATGCTACTTACTTAATATTTCCCCCACCAGCACTGTAGAAGTGATACACGGTCAAATTTTTAACACATTAAATGAGTAAATTGGCTCATATATTTGTATGAGTAATGAAGCACAGAGAGTTGTGCTTAAACTTTATTTCTTTTAAGCCTGCGCTAAGAGCAGTGAAGTGAAGTTCCAGTCCCAAGGTTGGAACGGTGCAGAGAGACAGCCACTCCCTACATGTCTGTCTCTTGTCGCTTGTCACTCTCTTGTCATTAAAGCCAAGTTTACATCTTGTCTTTGGAGTTGTCATTATGTAGAAAATTGCCACATTTTGTTTCTCATTACAATTGTGCATTAAAACGCCCTAAAGATTCAATAAACAGCTCAGCTGACTAATTCCTAATAAATGAAAAAGCTTCACACCCTTAAATGCGGCACAGGTCATTTTCAGCAATGATTTTCTGTCTGGATGATCAAGAGTCTTAAAAAGAACTAAATGCTGAGGTGTCGGCTGCAATATATATATATATATATATATATATGAGCCGTTGTAAGCGGATCATTAATTGAGGGTCTTTACTCATGACTCATTGATCTCATTGCAGTGGTTGCCTGCTCAAGCAATATTCTAGGTTAGGTAAAAGTTAGGTTTAATGAACAGCATATTTGGCATTATATTGATTACCATAAAAATTGATTGCAACTTAAGCCTTAAAAAAATGGTTAAAGTACAATAATACAGTACAACGGTACTTTACAGAAAATAATTTTATTGGAGAAAATGGCATCTTCCCAACAACTGTCCAAATCAGATAGACTGGGTCAATGAGTAAATCAGCGTAAAACACATGGAGTGCAGGTGTGTGTCTCAAACATTTTAGCTTCTGCTGTCTGATAAGACCCTGTCTGGAGAGTGTTTAAGTGGTTGTCCACTTAGCAGTCAAGTGGTGGCACTACACCAGATTCCTGGAGTAGATATGGATCTACTGTTTCCTCTCCTCATCCACTCACTCTCAACACTGTAAAAGAAGTACCAAGCTGAGAGTTTATTAATATACAAGCCTGAAGGTTTTTTTATTTTTTATCTGATTTCACAGACAAGCTAAAAAGAACCAAAAAATGACATTTCTTCTGTTATTTACTCACCCTAATGTCATTTCAAACCTGTATGACCTTCTTTTTTTCTGTGGAAAACGTTTATGACTTTTTAAAGAATATCCTGTTACTCCACTTCCACTTTTCCAAACAATTATACAAGTATGGACTTTCATGGTTTTTTGTCATATTTAGAGCATTATTGGAGCATTGTATACATTTATATACAATATATATAGTACATTTATAGAAGAAAAATAAAGAGTAAAGGCCAAAAATTAAGTGCTTGATGAGAGCATTTAATCCATTTGAAAGAGATGTGCATGTGGCAGCTTTGCTAGATTAGATTGCACAATGTGAGAAGTTTAGATCCCTGCCAGTAGTTTAGCATAAAGCTGCTGTTTGAAGTCTGAGCTCCTCTCCACCATTAAAAACATCATGTTGAGAGTCGGTGGGGTAATTTGTGGTGTTGCTGGAGGACGGCCAGCTCAGCCCAGGCTCAGTATTGTAGTGCTTAGTTTCTGCGCTGGCCCACAAAAATGTCTGAAGCTAATAAAAATCTTCTTCTTTTTTCGCAATAGCGAGCATTAGCATAATCATTTGATGAAATTATGAATGTCACTCCAAGCACCACGTCTTTTTGTCAACAAACGTTTTGCCAAGTTGTCCTTTTTATGCACTACATTCTCATCTAATTGAAGCCAGTTACAAAAGAAGTCGTTTTTTGGAAATCTAATGAGAAAAGTGAGGTAATGAAAAACAATATTTTCAAATCCCCAACAGAAGAGGTTATTTGTGGTTAATAATAGTACAGTTTTGTGACAATGCAAGACACATGTTCAAGTGGAAGGCGTAATAGTGTGACCACAGATACTACACAGCTCTCACTGCAAACATAATCTCTACTAGCGCACTCAGTACTAACTTTCTCAGCTTTTCCCAGAACCCTAATGAGGATGGGGAGAAAATGAGCCTTTTATTTTGTCTATTTGTATATAAACCCATGGCAACCACACATTGAAGGCACAATTAGATTGACTGGCTAAGGTTTTGCTGCCTGGGATCCCATCAGAGACTGATGTCATTCTCTTTAGCTTGCTACTTCTTAGCAATCCATATAAACTGAAACATTTCATATAATACTGAACCAAGATTCCAAGCTAACCAAAAATGTCTGAACTTTTAACAGCCCACCCAATGGGGTGACGACGGTCCGGTGCGGCTGACAGTTTGCAGAGCGCCACACACTTACATGATCTAAGTGTGGTTTAAAACGAAATGGCTCATTTAACAAAATCAAATCTTCAAAGGAGTCGCTCACTCCAGTGGGCAGGAGAAATGATGAAGCAAATGTTTCCTAGGAATAATTGAATCTTATGGAGCAAACAACTCAAAGAGAGGAACAAGATGCACCTTGCAAAGCAAAGCTGCCTTCGCTTTGTGTGTTTACAGTGTGGTTTATGAAGGGTGAAGTCACAAATCAGATGGCTGAAGTTTCATTAGAAGCTCTAACCTAATAGAGTGCGGCAGACTCTCCACATCATTCTTTATGAATTTTAAAGGGAATGTTCCAGTTGCCCAATTGAACAAGTGGTTTTTGATATATGACTTCACAGTAAATATAAAATAAGGGTAACACTTTAGTACAGGGACCAATACTCACTTTTAACTAGTTGCTTATTAGCATGCTTATTATTAACAAAATGGCTGTTTATTAGTACTTATAAAGCACATATTCTGCATGACCATATTCTACATCCCTAATCCTACCCAATACCTAAACTTAACTACCTTACTAACTATTAATAAGCAGCAAATTAGGAGTTTATTAAGGCAAAAGTCGTAGTTAATGGTTTGTTAATAGCGAGAATTGGATCTTAAAATAAAGTGTGAGCAAAATAAATTTGATGTTTGACATTTTTATTTAGTTCAGTTCACCTTGGGTGGTTCTGCCAGTCATTTGTGGGTATAAAACACATGATAATGATAATAGGATACACTTGAAGGGAAGCTATTTTGAGGAATATCAAGAATATTTTTTGAGAAATGTCTTGAGTTTGGTTACCAACATTCTTAAAAATATCTTCGTTCCTGTCCCACATAAGAAATAAAGTCATTTAGTTTTAGAATGACATGAGGGTGAGCAAATGATAAGAAGTATTTGGGGTGCACATTCCCTTCAAGAAGACACACATTAAGTTGAACATGAAACAGGGAGCCTCTGATTTGAAGCTCTGTACGAGAGCAGAACATACTGTAATTGTTTTTCCTGAAGTAAATTGTTATAGTATATAGTTGCCACTATTTAATTGCTCTGATTAAGAGTGTGAGGACTTGTCAAAAGAAAAAGAGAAAGCGTGTGGTGAACACATTAAATGAATGAGCATGAGGGGAGTTAGGTGCTTTATATTACAACATACTTGCACCTATTTTCATTAACTTGCAATACATCACATATTTAGCTTGTGAAAATGTTTTCTTTGGCGGGAATTAAATATCATGCTTCATATCATTTGTCACCTTTCTATAATTACCTCACATCCTTTTTTGTACATCTGTTTTGATGTAACCTAATACAGCTGTATAACTTGGACAGTGTTTGATTGTAATTACATTAGGGGCTCTAACTCTGGCAAAGTTCAGGATTAAATCGAACAAAATGCCTTGTTTAAGTTACAGATTTTGTAAATCACGATGAAATGTGTTTTCAGAACAATTTAAAATGAAGCAACATTTGATTTGATGTAGTCAGCTGAGATTTACACGAGGTCTCCCTCTCATTTGAAAAGTGCCGGTGTTTAAACATCAAGAGTAGGAGACCCAGAGTGAACAGACATAAATATCCAAGTAAATATTTATTAAAATACTCAAAAAAATTGAGCTTGTGCCTATTGTGATGATGCTAGCCGTGCTGATAAATGGTCCGAGCATAAAATAACACAAAAGTCTGATGAGGCAGTTGAACCTGAAGATAAATGACTTGACCAAAAACAGAACAAGTATGGATGGATGACTGTTGCGAAAGAATGAAAGCAATGAGAAATGTACAGAGACAGACAAAAGCATGCAAACAGATGAAAGCAACAGCAAACATTCAGCACTGGGAGTTTTCAGTTAAATCAAAAAGTTCGGAAGAATTGCAGTAAATCTCCCTTACAACGAAGTATATGCATTAGAAACAAGTTCTCAATGGTTGTGGGTCACAATGATGCATTTTTAATCCAGAATTGATTCTTCCCCAATATTTCATCCATTAATATATCTTTCATAGTAGTACATTAATATTTTGAAAGGTCTATTACTAATTCTTTAACAATCTAAAGGGTATTACGGTTATTTTTAGTCTGTTATTCTTTTCAAAGTTTTCCTTGAACCATTAGTGAATTCCATTTGGTTTGTTGACCCTAATTCCAAGCGCCTGGGAAATCCTCCATGGCCTCTTTCTCAAATCTCAGGGAAACAGAAGAGTTCATTAACTTTCCAAGCAAAGCAGATCATTTTAATAAAACTTTAGAAAAGAGACTCAGGGTCATCAGAGACCTGCAGGATTATTCACCCTTGATTTTAATTACAGAAGCCTTTCGAAAGCAGAAAGAAAAAGAAAAATGAAGCAGAAGAGTGATCTAATGTCACATCTTGTGAATCTGATAGTTTCTACCACAAAATATTTCACTTTAAAACAACATATTCAAGCTCACAGCCGACCTTTGGCATTTTCAGACTCTTTTCTTTTTGCACACTGTATTATGGAAGTGTGTACAAAATTCTTAAATGCATCATTGCACCAGCCAACATATCCAAACAGAGCAAACCTCACCAATGAGAGTAATGGGATGCTGAAAGAATCAAGTCTTGTCCACAGGAGAAAGGAAGTGAAAACAAAAAGAAGTTCTCTTCCCTCAATAAGACACATAGCATGGGGGTTAGCGGAACACACAGTCGGATGATGAATGTCTGTTTGCATTCCACGTCGACAGGAGAATCAAACGAGAGCCCAGAGAGGGGTGAATGTCAGTCTGGAGTATGGTAAAATGGATATGTTGGTTAGGTTATGCATTCTTGTAATGCCTTTCCATGCAGAGAATATTATTATATGCTCATTAATCTTTTTCATATTCATCAGGAGGAATGTGATATGTAGTCTGAGAACTAAAAAAACAACACACTTTTACTTTTACATGAATTAAATATGTTTGATTTTGCATAAAACAGTGTGCCTAAATCAGTTGAAAACTGTATGCCTAAATCAACCAGTCCTCATCTGAAAATTTTAAGGTGTTATTTTATTTAAAAATCTTCTGTTTATACCATAACATTTGATAAATATATATTTTTAAAATTACAAATATTTAAAAAATTACAAAATTACAAATTACAAAATAATCCACAAAAATTATTATATGCCATGTCTAAAATTTCATTAAAAAAAAATAAAGTATGCCACAAAATGAATTTTGTTAAATGTCATGTCTAAAATGCACATTCAAATATGTTGTTGTTTTTCTAGCTTAGTTTAAAGCTATATATAAATCGAACATCTTTACAACCTAAACGGTTTCTATATAACAGCAGGAATAAGGTTAATTGCTTTGTTGTGTGGATGTTGTAAATGAGAACTCATGCATGCTGATGGTATTGTGGAAAAAAAAACAAACACCTTCTGTTCAGCCTTCAAGTGTAACATTCTCACATGATGCAAAAACATTCCCCACCGTTTTCATTGTCAAATTGATGGATGCTTTTATTTATTTACCTATTTATCTGTTTGGGAAAACAGAGCCTTTAACTTTCAGCACAGACCTAATATTTTACCCAGAGCTAAAGCTGGAAGTAAATGATCCTAAGCCATCACGGACAGCAGCAGAATGGACCTTGTTATGAGGACATGCTAAGGTGTGACGGGGGGCTTGTTTGCACAAAGCTTTTGCTCCTGTCCTCTTGCCCTGCGGCAAAGTTAGGTGAGAATAGCCTGTCCTTTTTTCTCTCTTTTCTTCTGGACAGCTCCCAGGTAAGTGTGCTGTTGCCAGCCAGTTGCACACCTGTGGAAAGCTGCTCGCTTATTCCCTCCTGCGTATCTTCTCTTCCTGTCCGTCCTCCCCCTAACCTCAATTCCTCTCACTCATCTGACCTGTAACAAGGATCAGTTCACACCTCTGCTCTGTTTGTTTGACTTGTATTGTCAAACCATCCCCCAAATGAATCCCAATAACTCAGAAAGATGTAACCTTCCTCCTTCACCCCTCCCCAACCCACATCCCTGTCCTTGGGCTGCATGCTGACAGAGACTCATGGGGGTAGAGAAGCACAGGAATGTGAGAATTCTTGCTGACTCCTTTCAGTTGACGAATGGGTAACGCATTAAGAATAGTCACCGGCTCATCTAATTGGTTCCTTTGTGGTATTATGTGAATTTCTTTGTGTAGAAAACAGCCAGCTAATCACTTAGCCTTAGTGTTTTCTGCTTTCCTAAGGATGCGTCAAGTGATAAGTTGCAGACTTTGGGCCCTTAAGACCAAACCGAGTCGCCCTTTTCGCCCATGGTGTTTAGATTCAGTACCCTTCATACCTTTGCAGGCCTTTCTGTGAGAGATGGGCTTAGACATGTCTCTGTAGTAGCCCTCCTTGCAGTAGTGGCAGTGGCGACCCGCCGTATTGTGGCGGCAGTTCAGGCAGACTCCTCCGCTTTTCCTCCCGGAGAGTTTGTAAAGCTCCATGTTGAAACGACAGCGCCTCGCATGGAGGTTACAATTGCAGGCTGCGGAAAAGGAAGAAACAGAAGATGCATTCGTTTAAACAGCATATCCTCTGTCACAGTGGTTCTCAAACATTTCAAGCCAAGTACAATCAGAACATCCAAACCCCAAGTAGTCACAAATAGTGTCCCTTTTTTCCCCATTTGGTTTGAGCACAAATTTAAGGACTGTGAGCAACACAGACATAATGCTACATGAATTATATATATATATATATATATATATATATGGTGTTTAAACTGTCAGCTGTATGAAAGGGCAAAACAATTTTAATAAAAACTAATTTAATATTTAGAAAGGATAACAATGCATTTCAAAGTGTATAAACTATCTTTTAAAACTTTGGGGTTGGTAAGATTTTTAAATGTTTCAGTCTCATACTCATCAAGGCTGCATTTATTTGAGCAAAAAATACAGTAGTATTGCGAATTATTTTTACAATTTAAAATAACAGTTTTTTTATTTTAATATATTTTTTAAAAAGCTATTTCTTCAGTCTTCAATGTCACATGATCCTTTAGAAATCATTCTAATATGCTAATTTGGTTAAGTAACATTTTGCATAATTTCAGTGTTAAAATATTAGTGCTGCTTTTGATTCTTTGATGAATAGAAAGTTCAAAAGAACAGCATTTATTTGAAATAGAAATCTTTTGTAACATTGAAAATGTCTTTATTGTAACTTTGGATCAGTTTAATGCATCCTTGCTGAATAAAAGTATTCATTTCTTTCAAAAATAAAAATAAAATAATAAGTGGTAATGTGTGGTAATGTATATCCAATAGTCAAACACATAAATATTATTGGTGAAATAAGTAAAATATAAAATTTTGTTGTTGTTACCTTAGTCGGTGATAAATAACAATATTGACTTGAATAAAATCAATTTAGATTAACTAATTTTACCAAACCACATGCACATTTTCAGATAAACATTATTTTCTGGGTAAGCTACTAGAGATTTAGACACACCGAGCTATATTAAACTTAAAAAAAAAGTAAATTACACAAAGATTTCTGTAATATTTATGAGTATCACCTGTAAGCACTCCACGTGCCACTTGTGAAAGTCATTAGACCATCTAAATCAAGAATAAAGAGAAGCTCTTTAATCATTATGCAGTAGAGATGCAGGCCTCAGTTTGACAGCTATGTCTTTACCAACTGCAGCAAATTAAGTGCCAGAGAATTAACTTCTGATAATGAGGTCAGCTTCTGAGCTTTGTCTCTGACCAAGCCTGCTCTTTCCCAATGATGCCAAACAATATCAGACAAGGCCTCCAATTACCATTCCATTCCCAGTCCCCACCATGCACAGGAAGCTGTGCTCCTGCTTGTTTACTAATGAATAAAGTTTCTGCCACCAAATTGAATTACTGTCTGATGTTTATTCATGACTGATTTGTGTGCAGACATGTTCTCTTTCATTAAGCCTGGGTGAGACATTGGTGTGGCTCCTCCTCGTGTATTATTCAGCGATAAATCCCAACCCTCCTACCAAAATGCTTTGGGCTGTTCAAGTGCAGACAACTGTTGGCAAGGCATAGCTGATGCACATTCTCTGAGCAACTTCAACGGAGTGTTTATTTGGTTTTATGCTAGGAGACTTCATGAAAAAATAAGCATTTTGATGAGAGGGCATAACAACTTACAAAAGCAATTGCAGTCACTAGCAAGACTGAAACTACAACAATGGCTTTCAAGTTTTTTTTATTTATTTAGTCTATCATTTTTCAAACTACGTTTATATGAAATATGTCCAGTACTTCTTAATGCCAAGGACCCCCAAATTGATATTACAACAAAATGTGTAGTTACCAAGTTTTGCCTTGCCAGGGCCATATATTCCTTTCCAATTATTTTGCACCTTCTGATTTTAAGAAACAATCAGAGATTTTGATCTTGATTTCGACACAGTCTGTTTGCTGTTCACTTGTGTACAATGTCATCTAGTTGGAAAAGAGTGATTTTTTATTTATTTTATTTTTTTTTTTGTGGAAAAACTCCACTTAGTATTACCCAAAATAATCTTGGCTCATCTCCACAGATTTTCCACTTGCTGCCAAATAAATAAATAAATAAATAAAACTTGGAATAGGTTTTTTGAGATGCATGCAGGACATAAAGAATGATAATCTGGCCTGTCCTAGAAGTGTCTCCTCTTCAAACTTACTCCATGCATGGCTTGTTTGCTTTCAAACAGGCGTACTGTTGGTAATAATTCTGCCTGCTTGTTTGAATCCCAGTGGAAACTGATCCTTCCTACCCTCTAGCTATGGATTATTCACTTTTGCTGACAAGGCAAATGCAATCCACTATGCAGCTCCCGGCTTCTTTAAATTTCTACAGACTTCCTGAACTTATTGATAAACAGAAAATCCAACTTGTTTTCTTTGAAAATTACAAAAAATATAAATATCGTACCACATTTTAACATTTTATTACTTTTTCAAGGCAAAAATTCCTTATATTGCTATTGGACAGAAATAAAACTGAGAAAACTAATCACAACAGTATGTTTTACCAAAGTAATGAGAAAAATCTGTTATTACAATGACATCAACTGAAAACCTTTCAGCTGTATTCTTTCTTTCTTTATTTAAAACAATCTGTGGTAAAAGAAGTGATGTTTTATATGGATTGGGCAGCATGCGTTGTCTTAGACTGTAATTTGCTGCAGTTGTTGCAATCAAGAATAAATGCATCTTGCTAAAAGATTATATTAACCACGATGAGCATAACAGCTGGAAACACTGTTGTAGCATCACTATAGTATGCACATATAAAAGAGCTCCACTAAAAGGAAATTACACTGTCAGCATGTGAGGCTATTGGTAGTATTTGGCTCACACTGCTTCCTCTTGCCCTCAATCATGAAAAAACAACCTCAACACACATAGGGCAGCTGGAAAAAGCTGTTTCAGCACCTCATCTGGTTTCCTCATGATACAGATTGTGATTGTCACACACACAGAGCATACAGCCTCCTCACACCTGCTCTTTTACAGGCAAGCAGGATTCAGGGTGTTTGCCTCTCAATGGGAGCAAATACAAAGCGACTGTACATTATCAACTCACTGTCAGACACATTTTGTTTCACTTACAGCTTGAGATCTGCTCATTTTGCCTTTTGACACCAACTCTCACACCTTGTTCGGCCTGCATGCTTCCCCATACCTTTGAAGTGCTTTCAGACTCACTAATCTTGTCATGTCATCTGCCTTAAAAGCATGATCATAATTTAAATGTTGCCTTATGTGACGGAACAAGATTACAGCAGCTTTTGGAGATGGGAGGAAAAGCTCATCCCTATGGTGGTACTTCCTAACCACAGAATAGAACAGCATCTGTCTTAACAGAAAGAAAGATTACCTAGATGTCCTACCAGGCTGGTGAATGCAGAATACTTGCAGAGGATGAAAACTCTCATCAGTGAAGCCAACAAAACAAGCTGTTCACACTTGCAGCTACACATCTACTTAGCCGATAAACCCCAGGCAGAGATAAGGGGGTGAGATGACTCTTCTGATTGGCTGGCTTGAGGAGAAAGCCAAACCAGATGCGTTTTGTCTCTGTCTCCTCTTTAGTTTGGCTCAGAAGAGTGTAAGGTGATAGCTTTTGAGCGCAGCTAATTGTTTTTTTTACTGACTTAAGAATGTTCTTAAAAGAGAGTATTAGAATCTTGATTTTGTTGTGCTTGTTTTTTGTTAGCACTTTCCCCCCCACACTTTTTATTTGTAACCAAAGAAAAATTTTGCTAACAAATATCAAGTTAGTTATATTATAGTTATATTAAATATCAAAATCAAGGTTTTAGATCAGTAAGATTTTTTAATGTTTTTAAAAGAAGTCTCTTCTGCTCATCAAGGCTGCATTCATTTGATCCAAAATACAGCAAAAACTGTAATATTGTGAAATATTTTTAAAATAACTTTTTTTTTCTATCTGAATATATTTTAGAAAAAGCTATTTATTCCTGTGTGGGCAAAGCTGAATTTTCAGCTTCATTACTCCAGTCACATGAACCTTCAGAAATCATTCTAATATGCAGATTTGCTGGTCATGGAACATTTCTTATTATTATTATTATCAGTCTTGAAAACTGTTGTGTACAATTCTGAGGTACACAGTATTCTTTGATGAATAGAGAGTTAAAAGAGACAGAAGAGAATTTTTTATTTTTTTTTATTACCAATCTAAAACTTTTGAATGGTAGTGTATATACTATTATACTCCTGCTAAAGTGTATAACTGACTGTTGGCATTATAGTTTCCTCTCTTTATTTATTATTTATTTTCTAGTTCCATTTCTGTTATAGCACTCTGTAGTCTTTGTCTTCCCACATAATCACATTATTTCAACTGCAGTCAATACTTAAAGCGGTCATATGATGTTGCTAAAAAGAACATTATTTTGTGTATTTGGTGTAATGCAATGTGTTTACGCGGTTTAAGGTTAAAAAAAACATTATTTTCCACATACTGTACATTATTGTTGCTCCTCTATGCCCCGCCTTTCTGAAACACGTCGATTTTTACAAAGCTCATCGTTCTGAAAAGTGCGGTGTGCTCTGATTGGCTAGCTATCTAGTACGTTGTGATTGGCTGAATACCTCAAGCGTGCGACGGAAATGTTACGCCTTACCAGGTTCAGGATTTCAAAGTAAAATTTCAAAGTAGTTTAGCTTTCGCAACGAAACACACAGCATCTCCACGACATGCCTTCTTTCTTTGCGTATACATTTGGGCGGTGTTATGCAAATCTTCCCACACAGTGACGTAGACATGTGGGGGCGTGTTTGAACGGCATGGATGAACATTCACTTTTATAAAGAATATCTCTTTGGGTTTGAGACTTTGAGACTAATCTTTGCAACTTTACGGATCTTCTGTATGCACGAACAGCTTTTAACACTCCAAAGACAAAGGAACCATGAAATCTCATCATATGACCCCTTTAATGCTCATTTCTTTATTTGTTTGGAACGTAGGACTCTTCAT